GTCATCCCAATTTACTGTGTTGACTTGGCATTGTACAGAAATGGACAACCATATTTGTCTAGAAATGTTAATTAATTAATTAATTAATGAATCATGTCACAGTGATATATGCACACCTATGTTTATAGCGGAATAGTTTGTAATAGCTAAAACTAGGAAACAGCCCAATTGCCCATCTGTTGGAAACTGGATAAAGAAGATTTTTTTTTTTTATAAAACGGAATACTACTCAGCCATAAAGAAAGAGAAATTAGAGTCATTCATAGGAAAATGGATACATATTGGGGATATACTCTTAAGTGAAATACATAAGCCACACATGGGTAAATACCAAATAGTTTCTCTGGTGTGAAAAACTATAATAGTACACAAGATCGTAATGAGATAATTAGTAATGTGAAATAGGAAGTAAAGGGCTAAAGGTGTAGGGAAAGTTGGAAGGGTGGGGGAAAGGTAATAAGGGAGAGGAAAAAAATATGAGAAACTGAAAAAATGGAAATAAAGTGTTTGTAAATGGGGAGGGCAGGAGGGGTTGAAGGGAGGGCAGGGACAAGGGGAAAAATGAGAATCAAGACCTATTATGTAGAGGCGCAGAATCCCAATGATGAATGTAATTGTATTGTATACCTAGATTGTACCAATAACCTCAATAAAAAGAAAAAAAAATACATAAAAAGGGCTGAGGATGTAGGTCAGTGTGAAGGCCCTGGGTTCAGCCCCAAGTATTGACTCCCCCCACCCACAAGGAGAGAGATCATTGTGCTCAGCTCTTTTTTAATGCTTCTGTGAGGTGTGTGCCATCCTTCCAATGTAATTGTATTGTATACCTAGATTGTACCAATAACCTCAATAAAAAGAAAAAAAAATACATAAAAAGGGCTGAGGATGTAGGTCAGTGTGAAGGCCCTGGGTTCAGCCCCAAGTATTGACTCCCCCCACCCACAAGGAGAGAGATCATTGTGCTCAGCTCTTTTTTAATGCTTCTGTGAGGTGTGTGCCATCCTTCCATGTTCCCTTCTTTGTAAGTGATGAAGTCTTCATTCGTGGAAATCCTTGCTTGCTGGAGGAGGGTGTTCACAATGGTTGTGTTAGTCTAACTGCATGTCACTCTTGAACCATCTTTGTCCTCTTTTCCAGTCAGACATGTATAGCTTGGGTGTGATCCTGCTGGAGCTCTTTCAGCCGTTCAGGACAGAGATGGAACGAGCAGCAGTTCTAACGGATTTAAGAACTGGTCGGACACCTGAGTCCCTCAGTAAAAGGTGCCCTGTGCAGGCCAAATATATCCAGCACCTGACCAGCAGGAATGCAGCCCAGAGACCGTCTGCTCATCAGCTGCTACAGAGTGAACTTTTCCAAACTCCTGGAAATGTATGGAACTTTTTTATTTTTTTAATACTGGGGAAACTATAAAACTTTTAGAGTAGAATTTAAGTTGTTAATCCTATTTCATGAAGAACAGTCGAGCTTCAAATAAGGTTTATGTTTCTGGAAACAAAATAGCTAAACCTAGTGTCAGAATTCTCTAACAGTCTATCTAGTACTTACTAAGTTTATACCAAAATAAGTTTCCCAAAGCCAGCTGACTCACTGCCAACTGTCTGTTCTAAAAAAGATAATACACCTGGGCAAGGTGGCACACACCTGATATCCCAGCACTATGGGAGGCTGAGGCAGGAAGACCACAAGATTAAGCCCAGCCTAGGCAACTTAGTCATTTAGCAAAACTCTCTCAAACAAAGAAAAAACAAAACTAGTGATATACCTTAGTGCAGAGATCCCAGGCTCAATCTCCCATGCTGCTGTGTGTGTGTACACATGCACCCACTTTTCCTTTCTAAATTGTTACTAAAGTACCTCCTAGTAAAAAGTGACACACACCAAAAGGTATAAAATAAGAGCGGTAATTCTGAGAAGTTGGAGCAGTGGTGGTAGAGACTGCCTTTGCCACTTTTTTTTTTGAGACAGGGTCTCACTGCAGTTCAAACAGGCTTGGAACTGACTATATTGCCCAGGTGCCTTGAACTTGAAAAATCAACTGTGTGATGTTGGTTTTCAGTCCTGTAGTCTTGCCTCAGGGTGGTCCACTGACACAAGGTCCAGTGCCACATATAGTCTCTAGTCTTTGTATTCTGGAAAAAGGAGGGTGACTCATCCACTCTATTCCTCCAGAAACTTAAGCTTTAAAGCTGATTTTAAGGTATATTCACAGCTTTGCTACAGATTATGGTCCTAGACCAGCTACAGCAGCACTACCTGGGGACTCCACTGTGGAGTCAGAGTCTGCAGTTTAGTAGGGTTCCCAAGTGATCTGCACAGTATTTGATCAGCAGTGCTCTCTAGGTCAGTAGAAGTCCCCTGCAAACTGATAGACTCCTCAGGCCTCTGCAGTCTCCTGACCTACTAAGAATCAGGGGTAGTGGCAGTGGTGTAATAATCCTTGAAGGGGTGCTGTCATTCAGTAGTTTGGGAACCATGCGTAGAGTATAGAAGAGGCACCAGGAGCAGTGCAGTGGTAGACTAGCACGTGTGAGGTTCTGAGCTCATTCCCAGGATCCCTCAAAAAATCAGTTGATTTGTCTTCATGTAAGGCTAATTAATTTTCAAGTTAAACATTTATAAACATAAATGAAGAGGTAGATATACTTTTCTTTGAAGTTTTTTGAAAATTGCATATATTATACAGCTCTTAACCAGCTCATTTTTCTGTGACACCAAGTAATGTCAGTTCACATTTGTTCCTAGCATCATACCCTTTCATTAGTTGGCTGCTTTCATCTTTGCTGGCCAGTATCCTTCCATTTATCCATTCTTTAACCACTGACCAGTCCAGGATGATCAAAAACTGCATATTTTTTCATTAATTTTTATAACCGGAAATATAAAAATGACAGTTATATATCAAATTTATTCAACACAAGACTTGACTGTTTTAAATGACACCTGCCTGAGCAGTGCTGGGGATAGTAAGTGTATAAATAAACATGCTGCCTCAGTGATGCTTGGGGGTAAAACTATTAAGTGGTTAAAAATCTCACACAGGCTGTGCTCTGGAAGAAATGGAGACAGCATAGCCATGTTGCTGTGAACTAAGAGGCAGTGACCGAGCACCGAAAGCCTTAATAGAAGCCACTTGACTGGCGTTGATGATAATGTGGTTACTTACATTTTGGGGCTGAGGGCAACACACAATTACAATAAATACAGTGGTATCTTGGTTCATGAACTTAATTTGTTTTACAATTTTGGAAAAGATAGCAACATTCATGTTTGGGTGGGAAAGATGATCGCAGTTGTTTGTCACCTTATGCAGTTTACAAACAAAAATAAAATGTTGCCTAACACTTCTGTGTGCCAACCAAATTGTTGGCAAACAAAAGTGTTTGTGAACTGAGGTACCACTATCCAGTGATAGCTGACACTCCATCCACGCAATTGGGTGGCTGGTGATACTGTGACAACTAGAATTCATGCATAGGACTGCAAAGTGGGAACTATCTGTACATTTAAAAGAGAAGTAGCCATTTTAATGAAGCTTAAAATTTTCTGTCTAAACAGGTAAATCTCACCCTACAGATGAAAATAATAGAGCAAGAAAAAGAAATTGAAGCACTAAAGAAGCAGCTAAGCCTCCTTTCTCAGGACAGAGGGGTAAAGGATGATGTGGAATATGAGGACACACCATCCAGCCTTAAGTAGGCTGTATCAATAACATGAAAGCGGACTCTCAAGACAGCTGGGATGTAAATTTTCAATCTTTAGTGTACAAAATGTGATTTCTTGGTTTTATTTAATAACCTGTAGAAGACTTCTGTAAGCTGTAAAGGATACTTAGCTACCTTTTCCTTAAGTAGCTCTTGTATGACCTAAGACTGCTCAAAATGAAGCCTGTTCCATGCTTTCCTCTCTATTTCAGTATCACAGGAAGTCCTTGCCATAATTGGCAGTCATGGTATAGTGCAAACAATAGTTCTGAATTTTACATAAAACCTGGACTCACAAATTAATATGATGATTTTATTGATACTGGACAAGTGGCCTAAATAAAGAGTGATTCTGCCTACAATTCTCTTTACTGACAGTATGAGGCAGCACCATTCTTAAAACCCTTTAAAACCAGTTACTGAAATTCACTTAAGGAGCTTGAGGGCAGTGTTGAAAGGGGCCAGGTTGTCACATGACTTCAGCCACCGCTGCACGTTGGCAGGTGCTGCTGTGCCACAGCCCCCTGTCTGCTGGAGCACAGACCAGAGCACCACATCTGCCACAGTGAACTCATTCCCAACCAGCCATGGGGTCTTCCCCAGAGCAGAGTTCATGGAGCGAAAAACAGCTGCTTTTTCTTTACTGTTCCCTTCTTTTAGCTGAAATATAGCAATATCTACCCAGCTATCAATGAGGGTTAAGTTTACAGCATTGTGCTTCTGGCCGAATAGAGAGAACAAGAAACGTGCAATGTTTCCTTCTCCTTCAATGGGGCACATCGTCTGGACACTGAACTTCATCTGAGTCTTGGGCACTGAAAAAGAAAAAACATGCCAGAGTAGCAGCCACTGAGGGACATACTTGTGCTATGTCGAAGGGGGAAGGGGAAATTGTATTTTCCAAAGCATCACATTTTTCATCTGTCTCCCAAGAGTTTTTTTTTTGGTAACGGGGATCAAACTTGGGCCCTTGTGCTTGCAAAGCAGGTGGCGGAACCACTGAGCTAAATCCCCGGCCCTCCCAAGAGTTTTAATATGTAAGTCTTAAAATACAAACTATGATTTTATTTATTTATTTATTTATTTTTGGTGCCAGGGATTGAACTCAGGTCTTTGTGCTTGCAAGGCAGGCGGCAGGACCACTGAGCTAAATCCCTGGTCCCAAACTATGATTTTAAAAAAAAGCAACCAAGTTGCCCTTTAAATTTTCAAGCTAGAAGGGACCTCAGACCATCTTTTCTAACCTTTGTGCCGAAAGATTTGAAGGTTGAAGACAGGAAACCAAACCAGGAGTCTCATACCCTAGACTGGACCAGTTCTGCCCTTATGACTCCTCTACATATGTGGAGCTGAGGGCAGTGAGGCACCACTGGCGGATGTTAACTCACTGCTGTCTGTATAAACCTCACTGGGAGAGACACACGTCCCTGGGATTCTGAATAAAAGATATCCTGCCATCTTTTTGAGGCCCACAGGAAAACATCAGTATCCTTGGAGCAAGTTTTAGAATGTGAAGGCCAGGGGGATGGGGAAATAGTTCAGTGGTAGAGCACTTGCCTAGAATGTAAAGGTCGGAGGGCTGTGCCTGACTAGACAGAAATCCCACTCCAGAGCTCAGAATTCCCTGGAATTATGTCTTGGATTTGACCAGACAGAAAAGAGCTATATATAGTCTATGCTTCAGAATGTCTCCCCTCTGCTGCCTCTTACCAAAACCACAGCCTTCATCTCATCATTTAAGTTCAATTTAAGTACTTACCATTTTTCCAAATTAAGGTGAAGCCCAGCTGATACTCATGTCGGGCCTGTTTTCTAGTCTGTTCCCCAAAGCACTTGAGAAGCCTCTCGGGCACGTTCTTGACTGATGAGTGCATATGCACTGTGGACAGGACCCTGTAGCGTTCACAGAGCAGCCTGTGTAGCACCAGCAGGGAGAGGGGAGGTGAGGCCGGGTTTGCATTGATCACGATGTCTTTCAGCGCCCCATAATCCTGGGGGAAGACCAGAATAGCACAGCAATGTGAGCAATCTGAGTGCAGTTTTAGCAGGTGCCACCCTAGGAACCTAACCAGGGTCATTTAATTGAATCCTTGGTTCCCATAAGGCAGGCAACCTTAATACCCCCATTTAAAAGCTGGGAACGGGCCAGGGATTTAACTCAGTGGTTCTGCTGCCTGCCTTGCAAGCACAAGGTCCCAAGTTTGATCCCCAGTACCAAAAAAACTGGGAAAATTGAGTCATGGGGAGGCAAGTAATTTATCCAAGGTTCAATGAACTCCATAAGCAGGGGAGCTGGGATCTGGGCTAACTCCATGTCGTGACCCCTCTACTGCTGGCTGCCCACAAAGAAAAACTGGACACCAAATTCACATAACAGTGTGTCAGGGATGACACTTTGATTTGTCTTTTTTTCTTCTAAGATAAAACTGTTGAAGAGGTACACATACAATTCTTCCAGCCACCAAATCTAACACTGACCACATGGCAGGAGATAGTTTCTTCATCAAGGTGTTTCAACGAAGAGCCCCTCGAAGCAGGGTCTTGACTCCAGAGGTCACTGGCAATGAGGGGAAGAGGACAATGTGCAACACAAAGTGCTAAGTGCCAAGACTTGTGGCCACCCTAGAGGAGGATTTTATACCTATTCTTTCTCTCTTAATAATGAACATCATGCTGGGCATGGTAGTACACACCTGTAATCCCAGCACTCATGAGGCTGAGGCAAAAGATTGCAGTGAGTTCAAGGCTAGCATGAACTACAAAGCGAGACCCTGTCTCAACAATAAAACATCACTCATGCAGACAATCAACAGTGCTTTGACCTTTTCTCAACACCCTGCCACTCTTACTCAGTGCCCTTCATGCCAAGCAAGGCCGAATGCTTTGCAGTTTCCTGAACAGATCACATTAACTTGACACTTCACCTTCTAAGATATCAAAATTCACCTTGAGTACCATGTGCTCAGAAGCCTTTCCAGCATGATAAGAAATCACATGTTCCCAGACTCACCTTGAGACTGGCTCTCTGGGGGCCTGGTCAGGTCTTGGCTGAGTCCTCAATACACAAAATCATGTATAGGATGAATGCATGGGTAGGGGAAGGAATGCACCAAGGCAGAGGCACTGAAGTTGCCAGAAGCAGAACCTTGGGCGAGACACCACAACCTTGCTTCCACTTTTTAGTTCTTTGATTTGTACCATTCCATCACCAATTCTACAGGAAAGCATTAGTAGGGACTCTTAGGACAAACCCTTTGCACACTCTGATATTTCATAAGGCAAAACATTCTTTGTGTCAGATTGTCTCCTACATTAGCTGAAGCCTATAAACAATTACGAAGGCTAAAGCAAATTGAATTTGAGCAAAAGATATCCTAAGTATAAGTGGCTTTTAGCAATATAGTTCAAAAGGATTGATGGGATTTCTGTGCCCGGTCAGCCAGGATGTGACAGATGTGCTTCTGTCAAACAGAGTCAAGGCTGCTTCTGCTGAGACCAGCTGGGACCTGCTTCTCTGAGGCTCACAGGCTGGTGGACAGGCTTGGGATGGCAAGAAGCTGGGACTCTTGATTCTTTTCTGCCTCCCACTCCTCCTTGTTCTCCACTCCGTCTGAGAAGTCAAGAAGCAGCTTTAGAGCTTGCTTTGGCTTCACTCATGTCGAGTAAACCTGTTCTGTGCTGAGGCACAATCATTTAGGGGCAAATAAAGAACAAGTGCTCCACCTTGAAAGCCAAAACAGAATCATACACAGTTTTTTGTCACTAACAACTATCTAGCACACAGATGCCGCTCAGCTTTTGAAACACACCTACCTTTCCAAGCACTGAATTCAAGTCCAATGCACTGGTCATCAGAGCTGTGGGCTCATCTGCTTGCACGATGTTGGTTACATCCACATCTGCATCTGGAGTGTGAATCATCTTGGAGAGGCCATCAACTGCAGCTTTCAACTCGTACAAACGTTTTAAAATATCATCTTGGCGGGACTCAAGAGCTTGCAGAGAGGGGTCTAATGCTTCCTAAAGAAATCACAACTAAGCAGTCATTTCCTTTCACAAAGCAGTCTGTCTAAATTTGATCACTTTTCTTACTTTGTCCCATACACTAACAAATGTCCTCCCTCCCTTTAAGACATTACAAACTGCCGGGTGTGGTGGATTACACCTGTAATCCCAGCACTCAGGAGGCTAAGGCAGGAGGATCACTGGGAGTTCGAGACTAGCCTGCTACACAGTGAGTTCCAGGTCAGTCTGAACTACATAGTGAGACCCTGTCTCAAAGCAAACAAACAAAAAAACCCACAAAATATTACAAGTAGGGTGTGGTAATGAATGCCTGCAGTCCCAGCACTGGGAGGCTAAGGAAGACTCAAAGTTTCAGCTCAGCCCAGGCAACTTAGTGAGACCCTGTCAAAAAATAAAAAAGGGCTGGTGATGTAGTTCAGTGCAAAAGCCTTGGGTTTAATCTCTAGTACTGTAAATATATATACACATACATACATACATACATTATATCAAAGTGGCAGTTATTTTTAATAGGTCCTACAAATCCACAGATGTTCTAGAATAAATGTGACTGAAAGTGACTTAGAAATGATCTGATTCTGATTTCAGGTAATTTAAGAACAGAGCAGCAGAAATTAAACACAAATCAGTATGTATGTATGTGTAAGAGCCGAGGTTTTACTATGTTCTCCAGGCTGACCCCCAACTTCTGGACTCAAGGGATCCTCTCTCTGCCTCAACCTCCTACTGCTGAGTATTCTTTTTTCTTTGTGGTAATGGAGATTGAACCCAAGGAGCACTAAGCTACATCCCTATCTGTTTTTATTATTTTACTCTGAGACAAGGTCTTGCTAAGTTGCCAAGACTGGCCTCAGACTCCTGAGTAGCTGGGTTTATAGGCATATGCCACTAGGCCAGACCAATACTCTTTATTTTTAGTAACAAACTAATTCAAAATACTTTGTTTAAATAAGTAAAGATGGGGGACACACACAATGAAAATGGAATTTAATAATTTATACAAATAGAAGGGAAAAGGTAGCTTAGGTTTAAGAGGTCTCCTTCAGCATAGAAGCAGATCGCTGGCACAGGAAAGTGGTTTCCTAAAGTTTTAAAGAAGCACTGGCATCCTCTTGTTTTAGAATCATCTAGAACAGTGGTGGTAAATCTATGGCATGTGTGCTGCAATGGGCATGCAGAGCCCTCTCTGTCCACACTCGAACCAGGTTGTCCCAGCACTGCCCAGCAGCTAAGCATGGAATAGCAGTGCACACAGCAGCCATGCACATGCTTGGAAAGGAGGAGCAGTGCCAGGCTGATGTCAGTAAGCCACGACTCATTAGTTGCAGCTCATCTGAGTTTTCGTAAGCCTGTGGTCCATATTCAGGTTTAAATGCAGTGTTGGCACTTAATGATAAATAAGTGGGTTTTGGGTTGCAAAAAGCTTGCCATCATTGATCTAGAACCTTTTCTTTACTGAAATGTGTAATTTCATGAAGCAGGAAGTCTTAGGTCCCTCAGTCACTGGATCTGTCCTTGCCTAGTAGTCACTGGCACACAGTAAGTAACCAATAATAGCCTGTGAATAAATCTCAAGTTATAGACTTACTTTAAAAAACAATACCTAGTAACCTCCCAATAAAGTCAAACTGTACAACTTATATCTGACTCATGAGATGTCACAAAAGGTAATCCACTTTGAGTTGAGAGACTACATTAAGCATGAGGAAAATGCCCACAATTACACAGAAGAGTCAAGAATATGGCCATGTTCTCTAGTTTACTATAAATAAGTACTCACAATATAGTGGGAGTGGAGTATGGTATTTGCTCACAGCATGTGGGGAAGTCCAGCATTTTTAGGAACATTTGTTTCTCCAAAGGTCATTCACTACACCTCCTCGCACATATCCAATTGTTCACAGGTATTGGGAGTTTTACCTCCCATATATTTTTGGAGTCCCCTGGCTTTTAAGTGGGTCTCCACTATCAGCACAGGCCACCATTTTTTACCTGGCCTATTTTCTTACTGGTCACTTGTACCCATCTCTGTAATCTATCTCCCTTAAGATGCCAGCCAGAGAGATTTTTTTTTCAAAACGTACATTTTGTTACAACCTCCTATGCTTCTTTCTTAGGTTCTTAGGATACAAATCAAACTCTTAACATGGCTTAATAAATACCTGTATGACTTGGACCCTGGCTCCTTCACATTTTAATTTTCTTCCTTGTTCTGTGCTCTAACCACATTGTACAGTGAGTTCCTAAAACTCCCTCCTACTGGACCTTTATACATGCTGTTCTGTCTTCTCTGGTTTGGTGAGCTCATATTTATGCTTGAACTTAATCAGCACTTTCGCACCTCTCCTAGATTGCTGCTCTGAAGATTAGAGAGGAAAGATAAGCCCACTGACTTCTGGATAGAACAAAGAATGAAAGATGCCAATTAAATAATTAGGTGCTGATGGAAATGTCTGAACACAAAATGTATGACAGGACTAGTACCTGTGTAATAGTCTCATGTTACTCAATGGTAATCTTTCCAATATCATTTGCTTAGCCTATATTTGTGCATTGTTCTTGCACAGTCTTGCTCATTTCTGCAAATGGCACCAGGATGTCTACCCCACCAGGGCCAAAGAAACAGCTACCAGATTCAAAACAGTCAGTACACACTGAAAATGCCTGGGGTGAGAAATGTACATGTAAATGTGGTCTGTGATTTCTCAAATGGCTTGACCTGGGCTCTCTTGATGTGAGTAATACCAAAATGCTTGAGGTATCTACTTTATCTCATTTGCACCTTCCTATTTTGGCCTATAGTTGTGCTTCCTAGGACTAGACTGTAACATATATATTTAAAAGCTGCTGATTTTTTGTGTGGCTCTCATTTGCACTAGATTCACTTGATTTTTTAATTGTTTATCTATATTGTGATGTGCCAGATAATTGCTAGAGCAGCAGGACAATGTGTCTTCTACATCAGAAGTTTAATCAAAGCCCAAAAGAAATCAGGCAGCAGACTTAAAACTTGGTGATTAATAATACGTGACATCCCCGACTCCTGGGTTTTCTTTTGGGTTCCTTGGACCGTGCAGTTGCAGGGGCACTGCGCCATTGCTCTGTGGCAGTCTCTAGTTGAAGGATCACTGAACCATATTTGCTATTTTTGTCTTTAGCTCTGTGATGAAACAACTGTTAATATCATTGGGTTTCAAATTCCAAACTAGGCAGAAAGCTATGAAGACAAAGTGGAGAATAATATATAGCAGGAAAACTGACCACAAAAGATATCCATTCATTTTCGGTCCCAACATTTTTCTGTTGGAAACTTCAGCTGTGTATTTGCAATAAATAAAAGAGCCAAAGATCTGAGTGAAAGACTTTAGCAGGTAGTTAGAAAAACGATGTACAGTAATAAAAATGGCCAGGAAATATGAAAAGGCACTCAACTTAGAAACTGAGGAAATCTAAACTGAAACTACATTAGGATGACTGCATCAGTATGCCACCAGCTTTACAAGACTTCCCAAGGCTGATGGGGATGATAAACCTGTATAACCACTTTAGTAATTTATCCAGTTAAAGTGGAAGACAGACCCCACTGGGCCAGCAATCCTGTTTGTTAGTATATGCCCGATGCCAGCTCCTAAGAATATTCATATCACCATAGAAAATCACCCAGTGCTCACAAGCGGCAGGAGGGAGAGGTAATGGTGGAACAGTCATACAGTGGAGCAGCACACTGCAGAGAAAATGACTTCCTTGTTGCAACAAAATGACACAAGTAAAAAAAAAAAATAAAAAGCCAGCCATTCAGATATAAGTAGGCTTCTACTTATATCAAGACAGCTGAAGATTCATAATTACTTGGCAAAATAATAATAGCAAGTAAAGATCTTTGGGGGCAAAATTATAAGTGAGGGACTGATGTGTCTCCACTTTGGTGACGGTGACCCTGAAATTCAGCCTTTATTCCTCAAGATGATGAATTATTTGCTTTCCTGTGAGGCAAAATTTTGTAAAAGTTTGGCTGTGTGCCAAAAAGAGATGGAGAGACTTTTTAATAAAAGTGTGTCTCATTGGCTGGCAGGCTCAAGAGGCCAGGGTGGGGCTGGAGGCCGGACTAAGACTGAGCACCCACAGGTGGTTCCAGCCAGGTGAGATCCGCTGGCCAGGGTCGGGGAACCCGGACGCACGGCCACTGCGGTGCCAGTACCCTGGACCAGCGCGGGGTGATGGGGCAGGGCAAGGCCCCGCCACTGCGCGTGCGCACTGAGCCGAGGCCCACACTCCTACCTGCACGTGGCCCTCGTCCGGCGCCGGGCTGCTGGTCCTGCAGTGTACGTTGGGGAGCCGATACATGCAAGTGGGAAGCTCTACACTCAGCGGAGCGCCGCCCCCGTGATAGGGCTTTACCTGATACATCGGCATCGCGGGAATCAAAGGAAGGAAGGCGGCGATAGTGAGACACGTACGTCCAAAAACCGCCCACACCACCACAGACCGCGGCCACCTCTCCTCTCCACCCTAGCTACTGGCGTTCAGGAAAACGTAGTTCTTGCACTATAATTGGCTCGGGTGTTAGGAGTCTGAGTCGACCTTTGATATATCCAATCAACGAGAAGGAAATGTGACACCCCGCCAGGAAGGGGCGGGATTCAGTGGCAGAAGTAGCCAATGAGTGGATGGAAGATGTCCCTTCCCCCTCTGTGGGCGTGGCGGCGGGAACTCTTTTCCTATACCGGATGGTAGAGTCGTTTTTCCTCCATGGAGCATACTGAGGGCGTGAGGTGAGAGGTGGGCTACGGTGTCCTCTCTGGTCGTCCTCTCTGAGCTTCGCCGCGTTCCATTCTCCAGGAAAGGTTGGCGAGCTCGAGGCGCGTGGCGAGCCTGGTAGCAGCGTTCTCAGAGCCTGTCTTGGCGCCCTCGGGACTGCGGGCTAGGGGTACTGGGTTCAACCATTCAGATGCCATCAGAAGGAGGTGGGCCTGAAGCTGGAGCCGGACATCCCGGTAGAATGAACTGACTTCGTCATCTCTTTAATTATTGGGGGAAGAAGGAAGCTTCGAGGCGCACGTAATTTGTATAACTTGTACAGGTTTTAAAAATGAAAGGACCCATGTCTGGGGCCCAGGGCTGGGGTTATCACAGGACCTGCCAGAGAACTCGATGGAAGCCGTGCGTAGTGGCCTCCTGTAATCTTAGCACTCTTGGAGCCTGAGATAGGAGGATCGCAAGTTCGAGCCCAACATGGGCGACTTAGCTTCTGTGTCAAATAAAGAAAAAAGCTGAAGATATCCCTCCCTGCGAAGGCCGGAGGTTCAATCCCTAGTAACGGGGATGGGGGACGTTGCATTGTTTCTGCTTGAGTATTTCATTTCTGCCGGTCAAGCAGTACCGAATTTTGTATAGAAACTCTTCGACCAGCACAGATGCGCTTAATATGAAGAAATTAGCTTTCAGTACTTAAATGTTGTGCCCCTCCTCCAGCTCAAAATGAATGTAAAAAACGGACCTGTAACCCTATATATAGTGTGTTATCAGATAAGTTTCGTTTTCAGAGCTATTTCCCATTTTAGGTGAGATCATCCGCAGTTTGACATTGTAGACAAACTACAGTGAGAGTCTTTGCAAGTAGAATAAAGATTAAAGAGGTCTGTTTATTCTCTTACTGTAAGGGGTTTATTGAAGGTGGACTATGTTGGGTGCTTTATGAAATAGGCAAAGATTTCCAGGAAGGCGCCTGTGTTCCATGATACCCGGATTATGGCTGTTTACTAAAACGTGCTACATTAGTGAAAATGTGGAATACTCTCTGGAGATGAGTAGGAGTAGCCGGGCAGAGGAGGAAGAGGGGAACAGCTGAGATAGAGTTACTTAGATACAAAGCAGTGTCTGTGAGCTTGTCATATTCAGAAAACAGTTGTTTGCTATGATTAAAGTGGGAGACTTGGGGAAGAGCAATAGAGAATTGGGGGCGTCATGACTAGATTTTTCTCATACTGAGGATGGAACACAGAACCTTTGCATCCAGCACCCGCTACCCCTTATTTTGAGACAGTCTTGCTGAGGTGCGACGCTGTCCTGAGTGCTTGAGTTACAGATGTGTGCCACCACTCCAGGCTTTATGACTAGATTTTAAACAATATAATAGGCAGAGGGGCACTAGGAACTTTAAGCCTAAAAATTATTTGACAAGATTTGTGATTTTAGAGGCCTGGAAAGAAAATAGTTGTAAAACTCTGAAAGCCATTTCAGGAAGAACTTGGAGGGCTTTTGCCAAGTTAGCATTAGGTACCTTGGATTTGGATTGATATTTCAAAGTCAACTGTGGGGATTATTATCTTATAGTTAGCACCCACTTTCTTATATGGTTTGCCATAAACACTGATTCACATCATACTCTTGGTTTTTTTAAATTGTGTGAGAAATGTTGCTTTTGCTTTTCAAGAAAAATCCCATGGTTGTAAAAGATTATGTAGCCTGAAAGATACAATATATTTCTTCCAGGTAAAAACATGTCTAATTATGTTTTAAATATTGAACTCGAAGCATCTATTCAAAGGTATTTTTGACAGCTACTTAAGGATTGTAAAACAATACCTACATTTTATACATATTATACTCACAGTATAACAAGTGGGTATGTGCACATAATCAATAAAGACTTAAACCCACTAATAATGGATAATTCATTTCTCACTGTTAAAATAAGGATGAAAATACCTTTCTTATTTTGTTTAAATGCTTATTTTGTTCCTTGTAACTAATTTCTTTAGTACAGAACTTGCCAAAACCATCAGAGCTATCGATGGGAAGTCAGTTCATCAAATTTGTTCTGGGCAAGTGGTACTGAGTCTTAGCACTGCTGTGAAGGAGTTGGTAGAAAATAGTGTGGATGCTGGTGCTACTAATATTGGTAAGTTTAAGAAAGTTTTAAGCCACAAGCTTATGCTTTTTTGTTTAAGAAACGTTTGTTAGTGTAATAAAACAATCCAGTGTTGGTATGCCAATAAATGATTTAAATGTTAGTAGTTATATCTCTAGTACTTGAAAAGAAGGCAAGAATAGTAACAGCAGTTAACTTTCACTCTGTTTTTACTGTGAGCCAGGAAGGCATTATGCTAAGAATTACCTATGGAAAGGCCAGAGATTTAGCTCAGTGGTGCTGGACCTGCCTCACAAGTACAAGGTCCTAAGTTTAGTACCTGGTACTGGAGAAAAAAAAAAAAAAGAATTACACATGGAAGCTGGCTGTGGTGGTACATGCCTGTAATCCCAGCACTCGGGAGGCTGAAGCAGGAGGAGTGTCAGAGTTCAAGGCCAACCTGGGCTACATAGTGAGTTCAAGGCCAGCCTGGACCAGATAGCGAGACCCTGTCTCAAAAAACTCTTCAAAAAAGAATTACAAATGGGCCTGGGATTTAGTTCAGTGGTTCAGTGGCCTGCCTTGCAAGCGCAAGGACCCAAGTTCAATCCCCGGTACCAAAAAAAAAAAAAAAACAAAGAATTAAAGATAGAATCTTTTATTTAATCTGCAGAATAACCATGAGTTAGGAATTATTACCATTATATTAATCAGGAAATGAAGGCATAAGAAGTTTACTTTTTTTTTTTTTTGAGGTTATAAAGCTAGTAAAACATCAGCTAGGATGTCTGATTCAGAGCCTGTTCTCTTTAATGACTATGTTAAAATTATTCCTTTGAAAGAAAAATTTTAAAATACTATTTAATTTGAGTTACTAAATAACCCCATTGACTTAAAATATACAAAATGACAGCAGTACTTTTAAGTAAAAGTATAGTCATGACTTTTACTTTTGTGTTGTATGTCAATATAAAAGTGTTTTTATTTTGTTTTTTGTTTTTTATCCATGAATCAGTCTATGAGAAGTAAATATTTTAACTCTTTTAGATTTAAGGCTTAAAGACTATGGGGTGGATCTCATTGAAGTTTCAGACAATGGATGTGGGGTAGAAGAAGAAAACTTTGAAGGCTTATGTAAGTTGAATTTTTCTAATCCTATTAAAAATAACTGGGCCAAATATACCAGAATTTTGAGTAACACTGACTTAGATAATACAAAAGCAATTTTTAAAAGCCAGTTACTTGGCAGGTATTGTGTATATTCATTACTGTGTCACATGAGACATCTTGGGCCTTACTTTACACTCTTTTTCAGCTTTGAAACATCACACTTCTAAGATTCAAGAGTTTGCTGACCTCACTCAGGTTGAAACTTTTGGCTTTCGGGGGGAAGCTCTGAGCTCACTCTGTGCACTGAGGTGATATAATATTTTTATCCATTAACTTCACTCCTTTCCTTCTGTATTACATCCAGGCTGCAGGCCTATTGATTGGTGCCATCCACACCTAGGGTGGGACTTCCCTCTTCAGTAAATCCATTCAGCCACACCCAGAACTATGTTAACCCTTAATCTATATTCACACACCCTAAATCCAGCCACCTGTGAAAAGCCCCACCTATGAGCACTTGATGCTTGGGGGACATCTAGACCCAGGACGTACACTTTGTTTTTTTCTGTAGTGCTTGGGATTGAACCTAGGGCCTTGGACATGCTAGGCATGTGCTCTACCACTGAGCTATGCACCCTGACCATAATTATTTGTGAATAAATTTTGAGATCCTTTGTTGTTTTGCATTACAACCTAAAAAAATTAAAGCTTTTTGTCAAAACAAAGTATTTGTAGAAGTTTGTCTCACTAGTTTTTAGGTGCCAAACCTTAGATTTTAGGATGATTCCTCACCCATTTGAACTCATTTGATTATATCAGAAAAATCGATACCTTTCATAGAGTTTTGAGAGAAAGAAAAAAATGGGGAAAAGAGTATACTGTGTCCAGTCCTGTCTAACCAGACAGGCCATGCTGCATTCTCTTACAGTGATGTAACCATTTCTACCTGCCACACATCTGCAAAGTTTGGGACTCGACTTGTGTTTGATCACAATGGAAAAATTGTCCAAAAAACCCCCTGTCCACGACCCAAAGGGACAACGGTCAGTGTACAGCAGTTATTTTATACGCTACCTGTGCGCCATAAGGAATTTCAAAGGAATATTAAGAAGGTATGCTACATTCACAAGAATCAGTAGTGTCGTATACATGAATAAAAGGTTTATTAAAGATAATTACTCCAGTTAATTTTATTCCCTTGATTTTTCTTTTTTAAACAAATGCTTTGTTTCTTCCATCAAGACTGAACTTTAGGATGGTTTATCTTTTTGTTTTGTGTTTTAAGTCCTTTAACAAGTAACATCATGGGCCGGGGATTTAGCTCAGTGGTGCTGCTACCTGCCTCACAATGTCAGGGTCCCGAGTTTGATTCCTGTACCCCCCAAAAAAGTAACATAATTTTTTATTGTTTTTTAAAATTAGTATATTTAGTGTATGTGTACGTTCTTGGAGTTAGGAATTAAACACAGGGCCTTGTGCATGTGAGGCAAGCTTTCTACTACACAGCTACATCTCCGTTTTTTTTTTTGGGCAAATGGAGCCAAAGGAGTTGTCTTTCTTTTTTTTTTTTTTTTTTTTTTTTGAAAATTTTTGTTTTGAAGCAAGGTCTTGTTAAATTATCCAGGCTGGCCTCAGACTTGGGGTCCTCCTGCCTCAGCCTCCTGAGCAGCTGGTATTATAGGTGTGTACCATTGCACCTAGCTTGTACATACATTTTTTATAATTCAAAGAATTGCTTAAGTGTTTGCAGCCAAAAATCTTTTTTTACTTATAAAACAATTTGTGCTAAGTGTAACTTGATTAAATTTTACAAAAATAGAGAAAATAATGTTTTGGGTTTTTTTTACATCTTAAGGGGAAAAATTAGAGCCTCAGAAAAATAGAGGAATATGGAAATTGTACTTGTCAGGGGTCGCCATTACTAACAGTTTGTATGTCTTTTTAGATATTTTTAAATTATGCTTATAAAAATTCCAAGATAAACATCAGTATAATGAAGGCAAGAAATATAGAATGTGCTGCAGCATTGAAGTATTATAAAATTATATGTGTTAGAAAGTTGAAACTGTCTCTGCCTACTCTCTTGAGTTTGGTTTATATCCTTTAGACTATAAATACCCTATATATAGGTAGTATTTATATATATTTAGATATTTCTGAAATAATTAAGATCCTGTCATATACACTGTGTGTAACTGACTTTTCACTTAGATATTGTAATTATTTTCTTTGATCCATGTGCACTATCTTACTCTTTGTCATTCCTCCATGGTACAGATATATCATAATTTATGATATATCATAAATATACCTTGCTGATGGTTGCTTAGCTTGTTTCTGATCTTTCACAGTTATAGATTATTATTTCAGTGAACATTTTGGTAATATACCTTTGTATGCTTATCTAAACAACACTGAGATTCCACCTCACCCCACAAAGAATGGCTGCTATCGAGAAATCACACAATAACAAATGTTCGGGGTTGTG